TATGAAAATTAGGAAAGAGTATAAGACATTCTTATCTTATTTTCATCAGAAGAGAGAAGATGATTGCGTTAAATTTTTAGACGATCAGTTTTTAAAAAAACCAAAATGGCGGATTTAATATGGCGGCCCAAAAATTTAAAAATTCATCGGATTTGTTTAAAACAATATCCAAAGGGGTTTTCGTGGTCGCTGCGATTAGGAATATCATGTCTGTTTTTGCAAATTCAAAATGGCGGATAGAATTCAAAAAAATTCACCAGAGCATTTTTTGAATCTCATTACATAACTGAGGAGTTTTCGAAAACGCTGATTACACCGTCCGACAAAGTTCAACTTTTTTTTTGACCCACAAAAAAATCCAATATTTTTGGAAACTAGGACCCAAAAAAAAAATACCCGTGTCTGACCGTTTTGCTAGATCAAATCATTTGTGGTTTTTAGGGGTGAAAATAGCCCCTAAATCACTGATTATTAATCTGATGTCAGATTTTCAAAATTCAAAATGGCGGATTCAATATGGCGGTCAAAATTTTAAAAAGTTATTAAATTTTTTTTAAACCTTGATATCTAGGGGTTTTTTTGGATCGCTGATGACGAATCTGATGTTAAATTTTCAAAATGGCTGATATAAAATAAAAAATTAATAACTTTTTAAAAATTTGATCGCCATATTGGATGCGCGTAAGAATTAGTTTTAGTTACAGTAAGAAAGAAATTAACCTCTCTTTTTTGTTTCAGAATTCTAAGAAGATCAACGAAGAACCAATAATAGGTATGACAAAAATATTACATACTTTTTATATTAGAAAAACCAATTTCTAACCTATAAATACAAGGAAAAAAAATATAAAGTACTTATTAATATATTTAACTATTTAACTATTTTTGTCCATCTCTGGCAACTTTTGCTTCGGGAGTATATAGAAAAAAAAATACTTCTGAAATGATATAAAGTTGACTTGAAAAATATAGTATTTTTTAAATATTTCCGTAGCAAAAGTTGCGCAGAAATTTCTAACATTTCAGGAATTTACATTGTATAAGTATAGTAAAAATTACTTTATTGTTGTTTTCCATTTTTTTCCATTGTAATGACAAATATAATTACTATCTATAATATAATGATGAAAACAAAGAAATATTTTCTGTTTATACTTTTTTTTACTTCAGATGCAAAAAAAGTATATCATTCTTTTTTTTTAATAAAAAAACCAAATAATTTCCTTTTAACTTAAAATCCCAAAAATAATAATAATTAATAATTTATTAAATCTGTCAAAGGAATTTTGAAATTATCTTTATACCTGTACTCATCGACTGAGCTATATGTTTAGATTACCTTAGGCCGAAGGTCATAAACAATGCGGTTGGAGAATCTCAAAGATAATTAAATCAGTTGTAATTCGTGTATTGACCTGTTAAGACGTGCTCAACGTGAGTGTAAATTTTGTAATTTTAGTAAATTTTTTGATCCGGGAGTGTTCGAAGTTCTTAAAATCGCGATCGCTTAAATCTTTAGGCCTTTTGTTTTTTTAATTGTCTAATTAAATTAAAATTCGGAAGTGTTCGAAATTTTTTTAAATCACGTGTGTTTACAGAAGCAGCAAATCATTTGCAGAAAATTTAAGGTTAGAGATTTATTTTATTTTTTTATAAATAGTAATAATTACATCCAATTATATTTTTCTCCTGGAAATTTTTAAATTAGTTTCTTTTTACAAATAAGATATCTACCCGTATCTTTTTTGCCGTTTATGTTTCGGAGGACCTAATATTTTTTTTTTAATTCTACTTTTTTTTGTTTACAAAACGAAAAAGGGATTTAAAAAATTTTTATAGGGGATATCCAGAACGTTAAAATCAACCCCTGTATATATATGTAACGAAATGATAATAAACAATAAATTTGCTTTCAATTGCATTTTAAGTGAATAAAATTGAATCAGTAAACGATTTTCCACTATTTCAATGAGTGAACATGCACTTAATAGAATATATCACTGAAACATATATATATATATATTACAATTCACGTAGTAAATTTTCCGTTGAATCTACAATCAGATATATATCATTGATTCGTTGAAAGTTCACTGATCATAGTTTTATTGATTCAATCAATTCAATTTCACCTGATATATATAGGAAAATACACAATTTGAAATTCTATTTTAAATTTAACTCGGTACTATTTTTCCTATATACTATGATTATATATAATTGTATTCACTCAAATATTATATATAATTGTTTTAATTTTACTATTACGACAGTTTTAAAAATTACTATAAACTATTTTATATTTTCTATAATATAAAAAAAAATTTTTAAATAATTAAACCCTTTCTTAATAAATTGTAATAAAATAATTTTTAAGAAAAAATTTAAACAAATTAATATAAAATGATGATCTGTCAATTTGCATTAATTGAAACAAGATGTTGTAGAGGATAATTCAAAATAATTGTTTATTTTTTCTCTCTCTGTATATATAGGCATCTATTATTATTTACACTTGGGTCAGTTTACTTGACTTAAAAGTTTCGATCAAGAAATTTAATCTTCATATCTTAACAATCTTAAATTGGCTGATTGAAATAATGCCATTTGACACACAGCCATATTGGTATTTAATAGAATAATAAAAAAAAATTAAACGATTTTATAACGGCAATTATATATATATATATATGTTATTATATATGTAGTAAACATGGTTTTATTATTTTTCACTATATAGCGCGCGTTTAGATTGAGTTATATAATTAACAAAATTGGTCTCACAAGTGATTTCTTTTGAATAATAATATTGCATTAGTATTACTCTTTCGCGTTGTATATCAACCAATCAAGTATCGAGCTCATTCGATAAATATATATCGATCGTACAATCGATAACATAACCCTTATATTAATTTTATACTAAATTCGTTAAGAATTTATTAATTTCGTTAGTATATTTATGTAGAAAGAGAGAGAGAGTAAAAAAAGTGTGCGGGCTCTATAAATGAAGAAAGATCTTAATTTGAAAGAGGAGAGCAATATAAGGAGAATGACGTCATGGGTCTTGACCCTTCTTTATGTATATGTATAAAGCATTATATCTGCGGGTCGTTCGTCGCCGTTGTCATTTCGAGATATAATGTAGGCAAAAAGGGGTAGAATAAAACCCGCAGCTGCTGCCGCCCTGACTGCCAACACAATAATATCTAATTAATTTATTAATGAGGTTAACTTGGCAGGATTGGTCGTCAGACAGCGCGAGCCGCCAGCCACTATATTTCTTCACTGTAAGCATCTTCTGTATAGCTTCATATATATACACACACTCGCGTTTGGAATATGAATTAAGTTTAATCAGAGCGAAAGTGTCGGGCGCGTGTTGAATCTACCCGCAGGGCCGCAAAACATTATTATTATATTTTACATGGGAATTAAACGTACTCAAAAAATTATTATAATTAAGCCCCCTCTTCCTCTTCCTCGAGATAATCTCCTTCTTCGAATTAATAATTTTTAATTATATTAAATAGTGTGACATAATTTAATAAATTGTTTTCTTTTTGTTCATTTACGGAGCTAATTCCGTTAGTTCTAACAAGGGAATTATCACTTAGCGCCATCTACATCGAATGGAAAAATCAATTTGGAAACAAATTAAATTAATAAAAATCCTATGCCATGAACTAATAAAATTAGAAGTATAGTTTTCCAAATGCCGTCAATTCAAAAGTATTTATGCGCAACAGATGGCGTTAGTTCCAACTGGGGAATTAACACCAAGCGCCATCTACATAACTACTTACCCCATAGATTATATAGAATCTCATTTTAGTTAAAAAATGGAATAATATATTTGAATTGTAGATAATTTTTACTGAAGAAATTCCTTTTAATTTATTATTATAGAATGAAAGTATAATAGAAATTTTTACACAAAAAAAAATATGTTTTTAAATCTGTTTTCAAGAAAGAGGGAGAATATGAGGGAGAGGTTGAGAAAAAAAAGTGGAAGCCCACGAAATCGCGCTTGGAAAGTTCTGACGAGCTTTCTGGCGAGAGCTTAGCCGCAGACAGCTGCCGCGGTCCCCGGAGGGATTCTGGCTCCTGTCTGACGAAAACGAACACTGACAGCCGCCCTTATACCCATCATCGTCGACCCAACCACTTTCTTCTCATTCTATATATATATATATATTTCTTTTTTTTAGCGTGCGGGGCATAATCTCGAGTTTCTCCTTCTATTACCCCCTCCCACATCACTTTATTTTTTAACTACATTTCGAAAATTATATTTACAATTTTTTTTTTTGAAATTTTATTTTCATTAAATGATCAAATATATCGTAAAGTAGAATTTCAAAGATGAAAAATTGTCATTTATAATTGATTGCATAATTCTTTGCAAAGATGTCCAAAGGTTCTCTCGAAGTATTTAATCTCAATTGCCGTTCGTGATCTAGAATTTTAATCGTGTCTATTTAAAAAAAATAAATAATTTTTGAATTATATAATATTAACATTTCGCGAATAAAATGTGAAATAATATTTTGAATATTGAAAAAAAGTGGCAAATAATTGAATATATTTTTATTTGCCTCTCTCTCTCTCAAGACATAAATTAACTTTAACAGAATAATTTCAGTTTAATATATGAGAATGACATTTAAATTATTTCGACTTCATTGTATAACGTTGTAATTTTTATCAAAAATGATTGCTGCTAGTATATTTTTGACAAGATTTTCAGGATATATTATATATACATAATCGCAAAATTGCTTCATCTAATTGACGAAAACTGTTTAAATTAATCCGATTAGTATTTCATATATATTTAATTATAAATAATTTGAATTCTTTATTACTTTCTTTAAAAATTTAATCCGCTATTGCAGATTTGAGAATTAAACTATTTTTTTTTTTAGGGGCAAACAATTTTTTTCTCCCTTTTTTGGATGAAAATTACTTTTAAAATATACCGATGAATGAAAATTTACCTTGACCAAAGGTGGACTATGATTTGATGGGAGATAATGTCCTGAAGTTGGACTCGCTGGAGGCCCTGCGCCCCCGGGCGAGACGTTACCACCTCCGGGGGTGAGAATCCTGGACTCGTGACTGAACAACACTTTACCGGTTTTCTCCGCACTTTCGCGGACCTTTTTTCAAAAAAAAAAATTCTTATTCACAATCAGTATTTTTATCAAGTTCGAAAAAAAAGATTACAAACACTGCCCCTAAAAAAAATCACAATTTCGTATATGAGAAAAATTTGGCAATTTTTTTTTTAAAGTTCAATAATTTTTTTTCAAAGGTTACGATTCAGGCGAAAATTTGAAATAATAAATTGTACCAATATGGCAAGGTGTTTGAATTTTTTAAGTTATATTTTGTAAAACACCATTGTTATCACAAACACTGGAAGAAAAGTTTTTTTTTTTGGAAAGAAATTAGATAGAGGAATTAAAAAACACTCGGGGGAATATTTTTTTTTTTTTTTTTTAATTTCTAGTAGGGGGATGAAGGGGGAACCGGTAAAGTTCAACGATCACCGTGACGAGAACCAGTGAATCGGACTCGGTCCGATGATGATCTGTGTCGCGGATTGCCGTTAAGATTGGGAAACGAAAAACGTGCGCGATAGGCGGTACGCGCAGACGTGGAGAAGTCGCGGGGGCGGAGTCCACGTGAAGGATCACAGCGAAAAGCGGGGGTGGCACCACGTGGTTTTATTGGGCAAATAACGTGTACGACAAACATCCCCTACTTTGTTGAGGGAGATATCTCTCTCTCTCCCTCTCTCTTTTTTCCTCTTTCTCTCCCTCTCTCTCTCTTGGAAACGCGGCACGACGAGAACGAACGTCGGGCGAGGCTGATAGTCGTCCTAGTGTAAATCGTGTTTACCCCCTCATCTATAGAGTGAATCCCTGTATATCAGCTCCGGCGGCGCTTCCTCCCTCTTTTGTTCCTCTTCTTCTTTTTACCATAGAATTTTCTCTCTCTCTCTTTCTCTTATTCATCTCTCTTTTTCTTATCTCTCTTCAACCACCTATTTTTTTCATCATATTTTTTCTTCTCAATAACAGACATCAAATATTCAAAATGGAAGATGAGAGTAATTATATTCTGTATGGGAAATTGAATTTGCATTTGGAATTTTGAGGATTCTTTTTTTTTTATTTACAAATTAAATTAGAAAATGGTTTTTAATTAATTTCGATTTAAATATTCGCGCCGAATGCTTAAGGAGGTTAGATCGCAGTGCGCATACTCACATCTTTCACGCATGCGCGTGAGAAGCTGCGCGGTGGCTCTCTGCGTCGATGTCTGTTTATTATGTCAACGAACTACTTTGCTGTCACATCAAATTACGTTAATATAGGTACAGAGAAGAAATTTTGCTGCACGAAAAAAAAGAAATTTACAGATGCTAACTGATATGTTTAATCGCGGATCTGTCAAAAATTAGTATAACCAAAGCTAAATTTTTTACTATGACAACAAAAAAGTTTGCTATGATAAAGAATATCAGTTTTAATTTTTAAAAATTAAATCACAGCAAAGTTTTTTGACCCCACTGCAAATTTGTTCGCTGTCTCTATATATGTTAGCTAACGTAATTTGATGTGGCAGCAAATTTTGTGTGGGATGAAAACAATTTGCTGTGACAGTAAACCCTACTGAAATGTAAGATATCTTATATATAAATTTTTAAATAATTATTAAGACCACACGGAAAAAAAGAAAAAGTAATTTTTACTATACTTTCATAGTAAAAAAAGGACCTGTCCGAAGTTTCTGCGCATCTCTGGTAACTTTTACTCCAAAAATAGTAAAATTGACTATTTTTGTAGTAAATTTTACTGTCCCACTTGGAAAGATTCCACGGAAAGTGCCCCCTGAAAGTTCTATCAGAATTCCGCCGTAACTTCCAACGTAATTCCGTCGGAATTCCATCGGAGTTCCAAAGAATCTCCAATGGGATTCCGACGGAATTCCGATTAATTTCTTTCGAAAATTTTAGAGTCCTAATTCCGTCGGAATTCCATCGGAGTTCCAAAGAATCTCCAATGGGATTCCGACGGAATTCCGATTAATTTCTTTCGAAAATTTTAGAGTCCTAATTCCGTTGGAATTCCGTCAGAACTCCGTCGGAATCCCATCGGAAATTCTTTGGAACTCCGATGGAATTCCAACGGAATTACGTTGGAAGTTCCGGCGGAATTCTGATAGAACCTCCAGGGGGCACTTTCCGGGGAATTTTTCCAAGTGGGGTTTTCGTAGTAATTTTTACTATTTCGGAAGTATATTTTACTATTTTTGGAGTAAAATTTGCCAGAGATGCGCAGAAACATCGGACAGTTCCCGTTTTTACTATGAAAGTATAGTAAAAATTACTTTTTTTTCGTGTAACATTGTTTATCACAGCAAACATTTTCGTTGTCATAGTAAAAAATTTAGCATTGGTTACTAATTTTAACAGATATCCGATAGCAAACATCAGTTAGCATCTGTAAATTTCTTTTTTTTTCATAAGCTGTTTACCTATTTAGAGGTAAAATTCCCTCTCCAGTTAGAAAAATGAGTATTTTCCGCACAGGTATTAAAAAAAAGTTATTTTTATACACGAATTAAATTTTTTTTCCATTTCAATTTTGTAAAATGAACAAAACACCTGAGATATTACTTTAGACACCAGATATTTAGTTGATTCGAGAGAGTCCGAAAATTACTCCACAGATAGTGAAAATGTGGTAATATATATATATATATATTTCGTTGTGTATATGTATAGGTTCACAAGCGTGGCGCGGTATAATTCAGTCACCACGTAACACAATTATCTTTCTCTCTATATAGTGTTTCTCTCTTGTGCTTATTGGAAATCCAGCTTTACCCTCGAGAGAGATAGAGAGAGGGAGAGAGAACCAACTATGAAGAGCCCCGAAGCATATACGAACATACGCGAATAAGCATGCATTTGTGTGAATTTAGTGTGTATATGTATGTATCCTGAATCTACATTGCCACAGGCAGTTCGTGGTCAAACTTTGAGTCGCTACAGGCAAATTTAATGGAATCCTAACTCGGCACAAGAGCCGTTTGGACCAGCATTGAAGCAGCAATGTCGACTCCAGTATTAAAACTAATTTTCTATAATTTCTTTATTTCGATTATTTTTTTTTTTCACTAAAAGTTTTATTATAATAACTATAAACTATATTAATAATTATTAATATAATCACAGAAAATTAAAAGGCATTAAAATAAGCTGCAACGCTTCTTATTTTAATCCAATTTTGCTTATTTTAATACCAAAATGAATTAAAATAAGCAAAATTTGATTAAAATAAGAAGCGTTGCAGCTTATTTTAATGCCATTTAATTTTCTGTGATATAATTATTAATATAATTATTGATAAACAGTATAAGCATAATAGGCTAGTTTTATTTCGAAATGAAGGAAAACAACTACTGCTCATGCGTTGGAAATCGACCAATTAGAAGGAGTCTAGTGACAATTTCTCGAACTAGAAAGCACTTTAAGTTCATTAAAATTAGCCTTGTGCGGGCATTAATTTTTTATTCCTACATTTTAAATTAATTAGAATTGCTTGGATATAATTTCATAATATTCAGAATTAAAACCTAATAAGAAGCAGTAGAAATAAATTTTAAAGTCAATTAACCAATTGAAAGAAATACTTTAGGTTAGAAGTTATATTTTTTGTGGACATATAAAGAATGAATTTGTTTGCCACATCTTCTTTCTCATTCAATTTTAATAACTGAAACTATGCGGCAGCTGTGAATAATCTTTCGACCACCAGAGTGTGTGCGTCAGACGTTGTATGTTATTCAATTTAGAGACCCAAGCTTTGTAATTGATAGTAAGTACTTAGTAGATTGAATCTAATATAGTCACTATATAAATTAGTAGAATATTCGAAACAAATTGCTTTAGGTTTTTTTTATTTTTTTAACTAATATATAACAATAATCTTAATAAATAGTTACAGGTAGTCGAAATTTTGTTTTACAAAGAAATTTAGAGATAAATTGCATCAATTTCATCAGTTTTTAGGCCAGTTAAAAAAAGTAACAAATTTTCTGAGAAGGACATTCAGTGACCCTGCAATCGCATGGTTGAAATAAATTGAAAGAAGCGGACAGCTATCAATTTACCGATAAGTGACAATCCCTGTGTGGATTATCGAATTTGATGCTCGGCCAGTGTGTGTATGTGTTTTTAATGCAAATGCAGCCGCAACGTGTGGAAAAAATCAAAAGTTTGTGCGCTGGAATAAAAGGCGAAAAAAAAGTGAAACGAAAAATATAAAAGAAAAATCGAGTTAAGATTCGGTGAATTGGAAAAATTTTAGTATTTAAAAATTCAATATTTCTATATGATAAGTTTCTGCAATATTCCTTAAAGTATATATATATGTTAGGTACAATACGCAGGGCCGTATAATTTAACAAATCTTACAGTATAGAATTAATATTGAAGGTTTCACAAAGTTTCTAGAATATATTCTGTAAAGGTTACAGAACGTTTCTATAAAGTTTATGGAATATTCTTTAAGAAACAATTGGAGATTTCACAAAGTTTGTAGAACATTCTGTAAAGTTTCTGGAATATTTCTTAAACTAGAATCATATCACTTATTATATAGGTTTCACAAAGTATCTAAAAGATTTTAGATCCATTTTTCTAGAACATTCTATGAAGTTTGCAGAAGTTGCTATGAGGTTTCTATATAGTAGGTTCCATAGTAGGTTCCATATAGTTTCAATAGATGGTTCTATAAAGTCTTCATGAAGGTTCAATGAAGTTTCTAAAATATTCCCTGAATATCCGCATAGTACATATATGTACAGAACTTTTTCAATTGTTCAGAATTACACCCTTACTCTCTAAATTTGAATCAGCGATAATTATACCACTGGTACCAATCAGCGGATATATACGCTGAAAAATCAGTGAAATTCCACTAATTCATCAATGCGTTATAAGCTGATTAGAATCAGTGGTATACTTATAGCTGAGAATCAGCGAGATTCCGCTGATTCAAATTTAGACACGGAAAAACTTTGTGCAAGAATCATTCCTAAATTTGTTCAGGAACTGAACCAACTAATCCCAGCCTAGTGTTTTGGTGTCTTCTAAAACAGTTCAAGAAACTTTCAACGCCCAGTGACTGAGATATTCCAATCGCGCCATTAACTAGAAGTCTTCCAATGTCATAATAAAAATACAAGTATTTTCTTGAATGATTTTTGTATTTTTCTGTAAATTTTGCAGAATTTTTCTCATATCCTCAGTTCCTAAACAAAATGATTCTTGAACAAAGTTTTTCCGTGGAGAGTAAGATCTAGTTATGTCTGTTTTTATTTTCCAATTATTATAACCTAAAGAAATACAAAATTTGTTTAAAATCAACAACTTTATATATATACAAAAGTGATAGACACTTTATTCTTAGGTTCATGTCGTATAGAAAATACGCCACAGCCGACGCCTCGGTAGAATTCCGACAGCGTTACCAAGCGGCGAGGAGGTTGTTTAATAAAATAATCTTGTTATGCCGCTGTTGGGAGTTCGCC